TTCGTTAGCTTCATCTCTGGTCCTGGCGAAAAGGTAACGCGCAGCGCAGCACCTCCCAACTCACCTCACCTCCACCTCCCTCTCCCCCCTCTCCCCTCCCCCCCCCCCCCCCGAGAACTTCCCCGGGAAAATGGAAAGTCTACGCCGCTGCACGCAGCAACCAAGTGCTAGGATTCGCCATCATAATTATTGAATTTTATTTTTTCGAGCGCTATTTAGACACACAGTTACGCGCTATAAACGTGTTTTTATACATTTAAATAGCGTTGAGAATACTGACTAATTTTTCTGAAAACGGTTTATTCCCAAAAACGATCAATTTCAAACCAGAACCAAGTCTTTAGTTGTTTGTCATCATTACCGGCACGGGGTGCCATGTGAAACAATGGCGTCCCTGACTGGCTGCTGCCGCTTCAAACGCTTCCGAGTTGTCCGAGGATCTCGTCCGTTTCGAGCCGGACGCGATACAAGCGATTCGTGTCGCAGTGGGGAAAACCCCTGGGGAAGGGAGGCATGCGGTTTAGAGAAGCTCGTTTTAGCGAACGCCGTTTTACCGACCCCAGTTTATCGAATCCTTTTATAAGGAACGGAGGCAAGGGGTTTAAAGAAGCTCGCTTTAGCGAACGCGGTTTTATCGACACCAGTTTATTCATTCCTTTTATAGAGAAACCCAGTTTAGAGAAAATAGCGATGAGCCTTCTTTTCGCGAATTCGGCCGCCGCGAAGCGGCGTGTACGGATGGGTCAGCGGGGTTAACACTCTTGTAATGAGCCGCCGCAGACTGTCGCCGCGAAGCGGCATAAGCGCCGGGGAAGGGGGGGGGGGGGGGGGGGGGGGGGTTAACAGGCGCCAAGTGATACACGCGCGAAGTAGGGAAGCCTTTTTTTTAAACAATGTTTCCTTTCGATAAACGGCGTTTCTCTAAACTGAGGCACCGCTTTCTCTAAACCGAGCTTCGATAAAACGTGCCCGTTCTCTAAAACGTGTTTGGATGAAATGGCGTTCGTTCAACCGTAGTAAACCCCTAGAGAAAGCTGGGGAAAAACTCGCAGCAACAACGAAATTGCTGACCCGTTTCCCCGTCTGATGCGAGCCTAAAACAGAACTGTAAACGTGAAAACTCAAAAAGCAAATTTCAGAGAAAGTGGAAAATATTTAGCTGCAGTAAGCATAAAATAAAACAAAAGCAACGGACTTTACTCACTTAAGGTGCCACATTCCGTTGCTTATCTTCTTCTCTGATCGAGCGGCGTAATACTGATTAAAATGGCGACCAAAAGATCCTACTGAAACGAGAAATTCACAAATAAAACAAGAAAAACCAACTTGGACGCTATACGTACATCTCGTGGCCGCCGTCGAGATACCGTTTAAGGATAAAAACAAAGTGTACATGCAATATTGAGAATGCGAGTTTTTATTTTGTATGTGTAAGTCTCGAAGTCCAGACACCAAGTGTCGATGTTCCCAGACAGAACTTGAAACCGCGAGAAGCGCCGCCGCACGGGGCCGACGGTGCCGACGGAATTTGTCCGTGCTGTGCGCAGTATACATCGACTTCAGATTACCATTGCCACGAAGGCGCAGACGGCGTCAGATGTCTGCGAGTGTATTCGCGCCTCCAGCTCGTTGCTCGCCCTCTCGCGGCGGAAACGGGAAGCGAGTCTAGTGAGGGTTGCCCGGTTTTCTGCCCAGCGGGCTCGGCGGAACTGCTCGCGATCATGGATCGCGGCGAAATGCCATTTCCGAAAGCAACCAACACTCTTCACTGTCCCGATGTAGTGCTGAAGTCGGTATATGATTATACATTATTAGACAGTTTTAGAGTTGCGTATAGAAGCAAAAGCAAGCGGTTTGCGTTAGAGTTGCGTGATCCACATCGCGCATGCGTGTTATCGCCATGCTCCAATCTAAGACCGCAATATTGGGGTCCGCGCACGGGCAGTGCTTGTGTCTGCTCGTATGCGCAATACTGAAACTCACTACTGTTTCACCGGTCTCCTACGCCAACAAAACGTGCTGCAGTAAGCATGCGTGCAAGCGGGTATTCCCTCCTGAGATTGGAAAAACGGACGGTGCGTAAAAATTAAAGAGACAATGTTCTGGGAAGGTTAGTAATTAAAAGAAAATATCCGTTTTGTGTGTGCGTGTGTGTGTGTGTGTGGGGGGGGGGGGGGCATTTGTTCTGGAAGGTCTGGCGCAGTGTTGCCAAATCGTGGGAAATTTCTCAGAAACGTTGCTCAAGGGGAGATCGGGGAACTAAACTTGAACGCCTGTAAAATAAAAGGTATGTTTGGTTTTAAAAATGCATATTTTACATGCATGCTAATTAAGTTTATCTTTGCGCCTTGGCGGTAGGCTTTCCGCACAAGGTTGCAAATTTCCCACGATTCGGCAACCTGGTCTGGCGGCAACTTCGGACGTTTTGCCGACTGTCAAAAGTCGCGACTTTGATACCCACAATTAAATTACCTTTATATGGATTTCTCAGATCAGCTAGAACGTTTCCATTGATTTTAGATTATTTTTATTTTATAACTTGTTAATTAAAAATGCTGCATTGGCACCAGCGATGATATTTTGCACACTTTTGATCGCCATACTTGTTAGTGCGTTTGAAATTAGATCATAAGCAACGAATTATTTTAGAGCTGGAGAAACAATGTATTAAATATCTTAATTGTATTATTATTATTATACAAATTGCGGCAATGTAGGCCCCCAATATACGCCACGATCACAAAAAAAGGTAATGTAACACTTTCTAGAAAGGTCTCATTTTGTTCTCTTTTTAGCATATGAAAAACTCTCACATCGTTATCAAGATAGACAAGCAGCCAAACACCGTCACTGCTGTAGAAAACACAGACTTCTGCTGTCCGACTCAGATTCCGTCTTTGGGTTTTTGTAGTGAGAATAGCGTTTCTTAATTTATACGTTTTGTGAACAACCCGTGGCGATATTTTGTAAAATTTGGAATGAATTTGTTATTCTTGTGCTGGAAATAATGTTAACGCAATTTTTCATCTGAATGCCCCAAAATCCATTAAAATGTCCGGAGTTCATTATTTTACATGAACATTATCTGAGCAATAAAAGGCAGCAAAAACACGATATCCCATGTTATCACTAAGGTGTATGAAAGACCTTGCCTTTAAAGGGCCACGACTCTCCAGTGATACACGCGTGACGAAATGTCCCTACAGCGTGTAAATCGTGTAACGAGTGTCGATAAAACGATCGTGTCGACGAAATGTGTGTCCATAAAAAGTTGTACACGAAACGTAATTCCACGAAACGAATTTCGACGAAATGATAGGGACCCTCCCCCCGTACATCGTGGTGATTGACTCCCTGAGTGCTCCGTGAAAAAAGTAGACGTGCGGACATTTTTAGAGCGAATGCTACAAGGTAGGGGTCGGCCACCCACGACCTGCGGCCCGCGAAGTAGATTCATGCGGCCCCCGGCACG